TTTATTTTTCTTCTTTCTTTTTTTTTTTAAATAATTATGAGATGTAATAACATTAACAAATAAATTTTTCATCTGTTGTGAGAATTTTTTTCCTGGGGACACTAAGTAATGCTTATTCCCTGTTAAGGTTCTAGTGTCAGGCCAATGTTTGATTAAAGTTTTACTGGGGAGCCAATGAATTTACTGAGCTTACTTACCAACATAACTGAGGGGTTGCTGAGATGTGTGTATGACCTGAGGGTATGCACACTGGAAAGCCTTTACCCAGCATGGGTCATACCTTCTCTTCCTAGCCTTCCCCAGATTGTATACTTTAGCCCTCCCCAAATCCAGGAGGCCATGTGTGATTAGGGTCAAATTACATTCAGTTGGCAGGGAAGAGTGGCTGGATAATCTGGTGAGGGTCCAATGACCCTGCTTGGCCCTCCTTTAATGAATGAGCACAACCTTCACAAAGCCCAACTGTGACAATGTTTAGCGATCACGCTCAGCTGAAGTCATGATGATGGTAGTTAACTTCATGCAGAAGGGACTGCTATATAGCATCATCTTATTTTAAAGGTCCTAGAATTAAAAAGGATTTGGTACTAGGATCCACATATGAGGGAGAACATACATTGTTTGTTTTTCTGAGTCTGTGTTACTTCACTTAGTATAACAGTTTCTAGATTTACCTTCAAATTTCATTATTTCATCTTTCTTTAGAATAGAACTCCTTTGTGTAAATATACCACATTTTTGTTAACCACTCATCAGTTGAAGGACACGTAGGCTACTTCTAGCTCTTAGCTATTGTGAAAAGAGCAGCAACAAACATGGATGTACAACTGTCTCTGCAATAGGATGAGTCCTTTGGGTATATGCCAAGGAGTGGTATGACCAGGTCATATAGTAGGTTCATTTTTAGTTTTTTTAAGAGTTCGCCACACTGTTTTCCACAGGGGTTGCATGAGTTTACACCCCCACCAGCAGTGAATGAGCATTCCTCTTCCTCCACATCCTTGCCAGCATTTGGTATCATTTGTTTTCTTGATCTTAGCCAGTCTGACTGGGGTAAGGGCAAAACTTAAGTTGCTTTTGATTTGCATTTCCCTAATTACTAACAATGTTGAACACTTTTTGAGATGTTTCTTAGCCGTCATTATTTGTTCCTTTGAGAACTCTCTGTTTAGATCTTAGCCCATCTTTTAATTGGGTCATGTGGTTTCTCTTACTCTTTGTTTTTTGAGTTCTTTATATGTTCTGGATGTTAAACGTCTGTCAGATGTGTCATTGGTGAAGATTTCTCCCCATTCTGTGGGTTTTCTCTTCATTTTTTTGATTGTTTCTTTTGCTCTACAGAAGCTTTTTAGTTTAATGAGGTCCCACTTTGTTGATTGCTGACCTTTATTCCTGAGCAACCTCTGTCTGATTTAGAAAATCCTTTCCTACACCTGTATCTTATGTTACTGCCAATGTTTTCTTCTCATAGTTTCAGGGTTTCCAGTTTCACATTGAGGTCTTCGATCCATTTGGAGTTGACCTTTGTGCAAGGTGAAAGATAAGAATCTAGTTTCATTCTTCTACAGGTGGAGATTCAGTTTTGCCAGCACCATTTGTTAAAGATGATGTCTTTCCTCCATTGTATGTTCTTGGCATCTTTGTCAAATACCAGGTGGCTGAAATTGCGTTTACTTGAGTTTGGGTCTTCAAGGTTGTTCCATTGATCTGTGTGTCTTTTTTTTTTTTTTTTTGTGCCAGTATCACACTGTTTTTATGACTATAGCTCTATAGTATACTTTGAGATCTGGTATAGTAATCCCCCTAGTATTGCTTTTTGTGCTCAGGGCTGCTTTGGCTATCCAGGGTGTTTTTTGTGCTTCCATATGAATTTAAGGATTTTTTTTCTAAATCTCTGAAGTATGTCATGGGGATTTTGATTGGGATTGCATTGAATCTATATATTGCTTTTGCTAGAATGGTCATTTTCACACTATTCTTCAGTTCATGAGCATGGGAGGTCCTTTGATCTCCTGGTGTCTTTGGTCAGATTTATTCCAAGACATTTCTTTTTTCTTTCTTTCTTTCTTTTTTTTTTTTTTTGTTTTGTTATTGCAGCAATTGTGAATGTGAGCATTTCCTTGTATTCTTTCTCCCATTGCTTGATACTGGTATGTAGAAAGGCTACTGATTTTTGTAGATTGATTTTATAACCTGCCACTATAACTGAAAGTGTTGATCAGTTCTAGGAGATTTCGGGTAGAACTTTTGGGATCTCTCAGGTATAGTATCATATCATCTGCAAAAAGTGATCGTTTGACCTCTTCTTTCCCTATTAGTGCTCCTTTAATTTCCTTCTCCTGTCTTATTGCTCTAGCAATAAGTGAAAAGGAGTGGAGATAGTGGACATCCTTGTCTGGTTCCTGATTTTTAATGGGAATTCTAGTTTTTCTCCATTCAGAATGATGTTGGCTGTAAGTTTATTATATATAGTTTTAATTATGTTGAAGTATGTTCCCTCCAGTCCTACTTAG